GGGATTTTAAAAAAAGACCATTTTGAATGATCAGAGAAGAGCCTCGTGTAAAAATGAAACGAAGGGCATACTACGCTTTCATGATTTTCTGATTTGATTTGACATTGGTTTCATGTGGCAAGTGCCTGGCATAAAGGGCCCACGGCCCGCTCAGAACCCGGCACTGAATACAGGTTCTCATGGTCAACCCACCACATGGCTTCCCGCTTCAAATGCACGTGCTTTTACTTTTCGTTTTTGTGGGTGAGCGCTGCTGAGGCAGAGAACGGGTGAATGTTGCGAGTTTAGTGCTTAAATCCGCCGAAGGGAACGTGTCCCCCTCCCTCCAAACGCCAATCAGGCAAATGGAACGCGCCGTGTCCCCAGGTGCGCTCCATAGATGCCACGCTATTCCTCAGCGAATGCAAAGGATGACAAGCGTCAGTACTTCATACAACTAGATTTAATAAGTTGTTATTACAGAAAAAAATGAAGTCCAAACTACAAAGTTTAAGCAGTTGAAGCAGTAGCTGCATTGAGCTCCATGTTTAGTCACAGTACCGCAGTTCCATACAAGCAATGTTAGTCCAAGCCCCAAAGGCAGAAGCTGAGTAAGGGTTACTAGCAAAAACAATCTAAGAGAACAGGTAATAAAAGATACAATACATTTAAAATTAGTTGTTAGTTGAAAAACAAATACAGAGATCTTAGCTGTGAACACTCTAGTTGAAAAACAAATACAGAGATCTTAGCTGTGAACACTCTAAAAGTTATGTCCATTATTTTGACAGCAAAAATACAAATACCTAATACTTTATACCCCAACAGAACTATATCCAGAAAAGAAAAAAGAGCAGAAGTTGTCCTGTATTAGCACCCTAGTTTTCTACTTGTGGCGATTAACTTCACCGTCATACAAATTTAAACCTCCCCGAATCATATATCCACTTCTTGACCCATTTTGGGGTATAAAGTCAACATCATTAATTATAAAATACTCTGTGGTAAAATGGAACACTATTGCAGCTGAGATAGAGAAGTTTGGTTATTATTTAAAAAAAAGAAAGAAACAGAAAATGTTAGCTGACATACCATACAAACCGGTGAAAAAGCAACAATCCATACAAATAAGCTAGTTTTAACAAAAAGATACTTTTTTTTTTCACTAATCTGTGACTAATCTTTCACTCAAACCTTGCAAGTAGAGATGTCACAATACTCAAATATTTAGGTAGGAGCCTTACCCAGTTAAATACCATTTTGTTGCTAATACAATAGATAAAATTAAAACTAGCAGTTATTTGCTAATTGCATCAATGCAATACATTCTGCATTAGCCCATGCCTCACTAGCAAGCTATAAAACACAAGATATAAGCAGAAATCTAAGCATAATCTTTATACCACTAAGCAAGAATTTCCCAATTTCGTTTCTTCTGTTCCTAATCACTTATTTGTGAGTTAATGTAAAATTCCAACCAGTAATACCCAATTTGAGTTAAAATTTTACATCACGACTTGATCTAATCTATATATTATTTACAAAACTGAATACAGAGAGCATACCCAAAAGCCAACGCTGGACACCCGTTTCTCCGAGCCATTGCCAACCTCGCCTCCCTGGCAGCGGGACCGGAAGAGGCCGGCAAGGACTGGTAGAAACACACCATCGATCTAGAGCAAGTCATTGGATGTTCTGTTTACGCAACACCAGTTCTGCAGTTGTATGTTGGGTTTTTTTTGTCGTCTTAATTTTAGGTGCCGTTACAATGGCACGCTGCCTTCACAGCACAGCTTCGAGGTGAGGTGGGTGTTAGAAAAGAAGCAGGAGGGCAGACAGATCATGCTCAGAGGGTTGCCAGATGTGTTGCCACAATAAGGGACAATGAGGGACAAACGAGGGGCACCATAGCAGGGAGCAGGTGGGAGGTGAAGGAAGATGAAGTCTGAGACTGTCCACGACCGTGGTGACGGCTGAGAGTGCCTCCTCGGTACACCCCCCAGAGGAACTGGGGTGACTCAGGGGAGACCCTGCAATCTGTGTCTGTCTACCCAGAAGGCGGTGTCCTCTCAGCAATTCCTTTTACTCTCAGACGTCACCACAGTGAATGAATGGAAAGGGTGTGGCCTGGGCGAAAGGCACCATCTCACTCACACATGGACAGCAGTGGGGGGCAGATTCTCACACACACACACACACACACACACACACACACACACGACATAATGAAGAGTCAGAGGGGAAAGCAATGAGTCATTCTGTTGACCTGGCCAGGTGTCAGCCTGGTGGTGTCTCATGAGGGTGACCATGATCAGGGCCACAGATGTGGCTGCACCTGGTGTTGTATAAATCCACTGTGACATCCCTAGAGAACTGTACTGTGACATCCCTAAGCTTACACTAAACCACTGTAACAAAGGAAAAGGCTTGTCAAAATCTCACATGTTCTGCTCATTCTGTCATTTTATTACCCAATTATTCATTACATTTTCCAATCACTTTACATAACCAACCGTTTTCATTGTTGTCACACTATTGTAAACCACATCAGCAAGTTAATACATAAAGCTTTGCATTTCAAAAAACTAGACACTTTAGTAACAATATTACAAAGGTTTTAGCTTCAAAAATAACTGAAAATGAAAAAAATAAACTTTTAAAGAATTAGCATCATAAAATTAATTTATTCCAAGTAAAAATACAAAATAATATTATGACATTGACCAGATATGAAAGTCCCTCCCAGAAACAACTCTATTAATGATTGAGAAAGCACTCCTTAAAGAAAATACGAAATAAAATGAAAAATATGTAAATATGTTTAATTTTTTTCTTAGCAAAAAATCTCTCTAAAAATAACAATGAAAATTTGTCTCAGTACAAAGGCTACATTACTATTGAAAAAATACCAGCATGAAGAAAAGGTACATATTTGACAGTAGAAAAATGATTTCAGTGAATCACAATGTCTAAAGTTTGCAATGAAAATAAATCTGCAATAAAGATTTATGCCTTTTTTCTTTTCTTTTTTTTTCTATTTTTTATACAAACAGTACAAACAGTATTGCACATAACAACAAATAGTCGAGGTTAGGTTATAGCCTTCAAAAAATCGACTAGTTCAAGTGTCACATCAAGGAAAGGCCACAACAGGACCTGTGATACCCAGGGGCTTCCCAGTCAAGTTGCAGGTCAGAACACCTCTGTGTTTTAAAAAATAATTTTTTTTGAAGGACCCTCTCTTTTAATATAACATTAACAACTTGGGGGAGGGGGGCACATTTATTTACAAAACAAAAGGGAACATGTTATAATTTAATAAACTAAAAAAGTTCTCTTTAAAAAAATACAAACAGAAGAATTCTTTCACAATCCTGGCCAGTCGTGCACAATCAACGCTTGATTATAAATATACAAATTAAGGGAAAGTAGTTTCCACCATCTATTCACAACTTTCAGCACCAAATGGAGTTTATTTTTTGTAACCTATTCTTCATGACCACGTTTTTTCTCACTTTCACGTTAAGCTTTATGCTGTACAATCTTCCAGCTTTTTTGTTGTTGTTGTTGTTTTTTTAAATCTCAGTGTTATTTTAGTACATGAAAGAGGGGTGCTTCTTCAAAAAGTTTTGCTTCTTTCATATAATTAGGTAGATTTCTGTAGGTTAGATATGATCTTTAATATTATAGTTATAAAGCTCTAACTTCTTCATTTTCAAAAAACACAAATAAGCATGAAAAAAATAAAGTTACCCATCTGTTAAATCATTTTTCTTGCAGAATTAAATTAATATATATTTTTCTGAATAAACTTACTTAGAAAATATCATTTTCTCTCCTATATTTCAAAATTGAGGTATTGCAAAAGATCATGTCAGTCAGAAAGCATGCCTTTTTCCTTAAAAACAAACAAACAAAAAAATCTTCAGCCAACTTTTGAAAACTGTCTAGAATACAAAAAGTAGTAGTGCATAACAAAATTTCTTGTACAGATGAAAAAACAAACCACAAACATAGAAAACAAACAAACAGAAAACCACAGCTGGGCTGGAAAAAAGCAATTCTTACCAAAAAGCCCAGAGGTAACCTCAAAAGGGGAGAATTTCTAATAAGCATTTTTAATCCAGTAAAAAACTATTTTGTTTTTCCTTTTTGGAAACAATCTATAGTTTGAGAGCTGGTAATTGCAACGAAACACTGGAGAAACAAAACAGAATGGGACGAAAACAAGCAATATTAACTTAAGACAGTACAAGGACATCACAGCACGTAAAACACAGCGATTTAAACCTAGTCTGCAGTGTCATATCCAGTCAGATTGTCCCCAGATTTCCAAAACATAGGAAGAAGATTAAAAAAAAATCTACATAGTCTCACAATCATCGTGTGTGTTTATATATTACTATCTGCAGCCCAAGAGTGAATGCTAAAAAAATGTCCACGGTAGTATTAGCAGGTCTTAATTCTATTCAAGCTTTACAGGATAAATCCAGGGAATTAAGTAGTGAATTTCTCACCCAGACAACCAACCCCACCCAGGCCATCGTTTCTTGTACAGACATTTCTTTAGCATCACCATCACGCGACTTTTTCTTAAAGTGTGCCTAGTTTGTCAATCTGACAACTTATCTCTATATACTGTATATATTCCTAGTGTTTGTAAGCTAAGATGAGCTCTTTGGTTTTCTGGACAAGGTCTGAAGCTATGTAAAATGGTGCAAGCACTAGGAGATTGGAACTAAGAGCTCATGTGTTAGTTAAGAGTATACCAGTTGTGAACTGTCAAGTTCATTAACGTCTGACACAGAGGCTTTAAACAGTTAAGTTTGATCACAGTTAGACATAATCACTTTACTATATAAAATAAATTGCACAATATATAACAGAGCACCGCAAAGTACTTCATCTACCATCCACGAATTTGCTTTAAGAATATCCTACACCTAGGTTGTATATTGGTTGTAATATAGGTCATTCTGTTATGGACTCTTCCTAATTTCAGAAGCATTCCATTTATTGAGGCATGCCTTCCTCCAGTCAATTACCAATTCTTTGAATGAAAAAAATCTTGTTTTTTTTTTGTTTAAAAAAAATCAGTATTTTATAGCTTATATAGATTCTTAATTTGTGCATTGTGGGAAGGTTTCATACTAGACATTGGATATAAAATTTATTGCATGCAGCAACCTGATTAAGTAAACATGCAGTCAGAAATAGTGACCTTCCGTTGAAGCCTTCTGAAGTCTCTTCTGATCTCCTTTCGGCAGCGGATTCTATCCCTAAATCACAGAAGTGTGTTGTTGGGTTTTTTTTTCATTGATACCTTAGCCTGAATAGAGTATTATGGTATTAATAATACCATTTTAATAGCAGCAAAAGCTATTGCAGCATAAATTTACGTAACACTAAAAGATCTAACTGAAGTCCTCAGCAAAACAAAAAATCAAAACGTGAAGGAAAAAATAAAGATTCAGCTTATGAGGTATCCTTACATGTCAAGATAGAGAGCAACTAAAGGCTTATTTTCATTAAGGGTTATCCTTACTCTAAATGACCCCAACTAGTGATGCTGAATTGTTGTGAAGTTTTTGCTACATCTGCCACCTACTCACGAGTATTACCTTTGGTAAGTCTTCTCCTAGGGGCAACTCTCTAAGTTTCTGAAAATAAGTGCATGCTCCAGTTCAAAAACAATCGGAACAACAACAACACAACAACAACAAACGAAAAAATCACAGACGTCGACCTGACGGCCGCTGATGAGAATGGCAGTCTACGTACTGTCACGAGGGACAAGTCAGGTGAAAGAAATGAAGGTACCAAGCAGACAAAGGTGTGAATCAAAGTGCAAATCAGTACCGTTATACACTCTGCAATTTTGCATTATACTGGACATTGAGTTCAGTAATATGACTGTAAATAATAATAATAATAATAAAAAGACCCATTTCTTCTTTAAAAATCGAGAACGAATGCACAGATTTCCAGAACACTGTAAGCCCTGAGGCAGTGCCCTCTCGTTTCCCTCCGTGTCATCTACTCCAGTACTTGTGGCCAGGTCTGCCCTGGGCTCAGCTCCAGCGGAAGGGGACGTGGCGAGGGCGGTCGCCTCCCTCCTTCACCAGCGGTTTGTGGAACTCCCGCCCGGCGCGCGAGTGGATGCTGGCCCAGCAGTATTCGCAGTAATACTGCAGGCAGGTGACGTTGGCACAGAAGAACGGGGCAAACTTCCCCCCACAGCGTGTGCCCTGGCACTCATCACACATCTGATCATCCAGCACATATGGCTTCACTTCCACCTGCACCCAAAGAGGAGAGACAGGAAAAAGGTTTAGCAAGGCTTCCTCCCGTTCCTCCTTTCCAGACTCTACGGTAGAGCTACTGAGGCGTGTCAGTCCCATGCCACCTGGAACTCAGCTGGTGTCGGGCTGTAGCTGAGAGAATGGGCTCTGGAACCTGCTCCTGTGTTTACTGGTTGTGTTGTTGTAGGCAGATCCTCACCCCTCTGTGCTTCTGTGTGCTCTTCCTGAGCCCAGTAAAGTGGGTGTAACATTTACACACACGCACACACACTTAGTTGTCTCTCTGTAAGATGGGGGTAACAGTGTCCACCTCAAAGGGTCCTGGTGAGGATTCTAAGGCAGCACCTGAGCTGAACCCTGAAGGCCAGGCAGCACCAGACAATGCGGGACAAGGAAGAGCATTTCGGGGAGAGGAACCAGCCAGGACGGGGCCCAGAGCAGGCGAATGCAGGGCATGTCCTTGGGGATTGGTCTGGTAGGAGCCAGGCCGGAGGGGGCTGGGGGGGGGGGCGCACACGGAGATAGATGGGCCAGGCAGCTGAAGGGTGCTACTGCCCGAGGCTCTGGGCTTCGTGCTTTAATGACACGGCTAACATCCCACCCAACAATTTCATGTTTTTTAGTTTTTCTTAAGATAAAATGAACCATTTTAAAGTGAACAATCCAGTGGCATTTAATACGCTCACAGTGTTGCACAATCACTGCCTCTGTCTAGTTCCAAAACATTTTCATCACCCAAGGGAAACCCTATACCCACTCAGCAACCACTCACCCCACCTCTCCCTGGCTACAACCAACCTGCTTTCTGCCTAAGGGCTTGCCTATTCTGGATAGTTCCTATAAACGGAATCACACAATACGTGACCTTTTGTATCTGGCTCCTTTCACGTGTCATGTTTTGAGTGCATCCCTGCAGCAGAATTTCATTCCTTTTTATGACTGATATTCCGTTACACGTGCATGTATATATCACACCTGGTTTATCCACTCACTCACTCACTCACTCACTGATGGGCATTTGGGCTGTTTCCACCTTCTGGCTACTTGAATGGTGCTGCTATCAACGTATGGACATATATTTGTTTGAATCCCTGTTTTCAATTCTTTTGAGTATATACCTAGGAGTAGAATTGCTGGGACACACGGCAATTCTATGTCTAACTTTTTGAAGAACTGCCAAATTGCTTCCCACAGAGGCTGCACTGCTTTATATTCCCACCAGCAACGTACCCGGGTTCCGATTTCCCTACATAATCACCAACACTTGCCGTTTCCCACCTCTGTGATTACTGCTGTCCTAGTAGGTGTGGTTTTCATTTCCATGTCCCTATTGACTAATGACTGTGAGCAGCTTTTACTGGTCATTTGTATATCTTCTCTTCTTTTCTTTTTTCTATCACCATTTATCCCCTCTACGTACACCTTCCTTGGAGAAAGATCTATTTCAAGTCCTTTGCCCATTTTTTAATTGGATTGTTTATCTTTTTGTTGTTGTGCTGTAAGCATTCTTTATATATGCTAGACACTAGACTTTTATCAACACACTAGATGCCCGTTGCAGGAAGATTCCTGCAAGAATAGGGCTTCCTGAGAATGGAGCGAAGCAGAGAAGGGAGTGAAGCCCACCGAGGCAGGCTTTGCTCCCATCTCTGCTGCCTCACTCCCTCCCTTTGCCGCTTCACCCTCGGCTCCCTCCCTTCTCTGCCACCTGGCTCTCTCACTTCTCCGCAGCTTTGCTCCCTTGCCAGGTCACGGATCCACAGCCTGGGTCCCGCAGGCAGCCTCACGCGCTGCCGGCCCTGCCTCGCTGGGTCATGGAGTATGCAAATTAGCCGCCATCTTTGTTGGTGGTTAATTTGCATATCACGCTGATTAGCCAATGGGAGGTGTAGTGAGGTATGGTCAATTACCATGTTTGTCTATTATTAGATAGGATAATTTGCAGATACTTTCTCTGACTTTATAGGTTATATTTTACTTTCGTGATAATGCCTCTTTTTTAAAAAATTTTGTTTTATTGCTTAAAGTATTACAAAGAGTATTATATATGTCTCCTTTTTTTCCCCTTCATGTCGTGATAATGCCTCTTGATGCACAAAAGGTTTTAATACTGATGAAGTCCAATTTATTTATTTCCTTTGTTACTCCTCCTTTTGATGTCACTGCCAAATCCAAGGTCATGAAGATTTACCCTTACGTTTCTTCTGAGAATTTCATGGTTTCAGCTCCTATATTTAAGTTGAGTGATTTTGAGTTGATTTTGTATGTAGTGTAAGGAAGGGGTCTACTTTATTCTTTTGCATGTGGATATCCAGTTGCCCCAGTACATTCGTTGAAGAGACTATTCTTTACCCATTGAATGGTCTTGGCAACCTTGCCAAAAATCAACTAGAGGCCCAGCCTTAACTATTCCTTCCTCCTGTGGACTTCATACTGCACACTGCTCATCGGGCATTTCCTATCGATAGTCCTGCCATGGCCAGCATCTCTCTTTAGCTGCAAGCACAGTCCTGGAGCGAGACAGGACAGTGGCAGATCCGGGAAGAACGCGGTCTGCAGAGACTATGGGCTCCTGGGGAAGGGAGCGCAGCTTATCAGTGCATCGAACCTGGCCTCAGCTCCTGCATCAAAGGTCAGGAAGGAGCCAGAACCTCGGCCTGACCCCTCTGTGCCCTGAGGCTGGGCCACGGTCAAGGCAGGGCAGGCAGGAACTGGCGGAGCCCGCTTTTCCCTCAATCCATGCGCTGGGGACTGCTGGCTTCTACCACCAGGCAGATGCCCGTGCGCAGCGTGTTCCCACAATCAGACCTGAGCCCCAACAAGCGTAGAAAAGGGGATCCAGCAGTCAGAGAGACTGGTCTGAAGGAACAGAATTCACACTCAGCAGAGGAGGAGTGCTGGGGAGAAAGACAATAGCCATTTATAGCCTATCCAGCCACGGAAAGGGCACTTAAGGAGATTCAAGTCTAGCACAAAGGAGACTTCCTGGTAATACTAAAAAAATACCGGGACTTGACTTGGGGTGTGAACACAACAGAATATACAGATGATGTATTATAGAACTGTACGCCTGAAACTTATATAATTTTATTAACCGATGTCACCCCAATAAATTCAATTTTAAAAAGGGTTCCTTTTGTTTAAGTATAAAAACAGTGGTTATATAGGTTTTATTTCCTCAGGTTTTTTTTCTTTTTTAAAAGTGTAAATTAATTTTTTTATATTAAAGTCATAAAAACTAACTATTTTAAAGTGAACAATCCAGGGGTGTGTGACATATTCACAGTGCTGCGTAACCACCACCACCTCTCGCTGGTTCCAGCACATTTTCATCACCGCAAAAGGAAACCTGGAACTCCCAGCTTTGTTTTTTAAAGAACTCTTTCTAAGCGATATTATGAGTTATTTAATGGGGTTATTTCAGGATAAAATGATATGATGTCTGGGTGAGGGTGGGGAGAGTGAGCAGAGGTGTAGATGAACAGGTTTGGTCACAAGTTGGTAACTACTGAAACTGGATGACAGAAACATTGCCTACTGATAACTTGCAATTGGAAGATGGGATTCATTATACGCTCCTCTATACTTTTGAATGTATCCAAACGTTTTTATTATTAAGAAGCTAAAATATGTAAAGTGTGCCTTTTTCACTAATTAAGTTATCAGATGAAATGAAGACAGGATAGTCACTGTTGGAATCCAGTTTAGTGGCATAAAAGATCAAGTGAGGAAATATTTCAAAGCTCGGGGGGGGGGGGGAATGTAATTTAGAAAAGTAAAAAATGCGAGAAAAGTTAAGAAATTTTAGAATAGATCCAGGAGAACCTAATCCAGAAGTTCCAGAAAGAGAAAAAGAAATGAGGAAAGGTAAAAGTCCTGAACTACATATAAAAAATACCAGCAGGTCCACTCTGGACTGGATGAAAAAGGAACATACCACCAGGCACATCCCGGGAAGTCACTAGCTGAAATCCCTGAACTCTGAAGGTACAGAGAAAACGCTACATGCTTCCAAGTGAAAAGAGCTAGGTACGGTCTCCTGCAAAGCAAAGAAACCACCAGGCATCAGACTTCTTATCTGCACCTCTGGAACGTGGAACACCAAGAAATACTACCTATCAGGCTGAGAGAAAAAGACAGGACCCAAAATCCTGTATCTGGTTAAGATATCATTTCCCTAAGAAGACTTGTAAGAAAATTAGTAGCTTTATGATATTCTAGGAATAAAAATGAAGAAAATAATCTATTCACATTTGTAACAAAAATTATGTTATTCAGAATGAATTAGACCATAAAGACACTGGACCTACATGAAGAAATATTTAAATGTTAAAAAGAAAAGAAAATGATCTTAAAAAAACACACAAAACCCCACTAGGTCTATATGTACCTATTAAGGGCAAGGTAGACCTTTTTAATAAGTACTAGAATCCTAGAAGCTCCAGAAGAAAATAAATATATTAAACTATGTAAAAATAAAATACATTTATAAATGGCAAAAAGATACTTTGAGAAAAGTCACTAGGCAAATGATGGATTTGGGGAAAAAATACAGATTATTATTTATATTATATAAAGAACTCTTAAAAACTGGCAAGAAAAAGACATACAACACAATGGAAAAGTGGGTAGAGAATAATTCATGTGAGAATTCAAAGGCAATCCACTTGAAAAGATTTTCACATTGGTGAGTAGCAAAAAGAAAATTAATATCACTTTGTTCTCCTTAGACTAGCAAACATTTAAAAGGGGGTAATAACTACTTATCATTTGTCGATAGAAATGTAACTTGCTACAACATTTTTAAAAAGCAAACTAGCGCCCTGGCCTGCGTGGCTCAGTTGGTTGGAGCATCGTCCCATACAGAGAAAGGTGGTGGTTCCATTCCAGTCGAAGCACACACCCAGGCTGCGGGTTAGATCCCCAGTTGGGGTGTGTGTGGGAGGCAGCTGATTGATGTTTCTCTTTCCCTTCCTCTCTCTAAAATCAATTTTTTA